CGGGGCTCGATCCCAGGACCCTGGGATCATGACCTGAGCCGAAGGCAGACGGTTAACGACTGAGCCACCCAGGCGCCCCAAGATCTTTAACTTTATTTTTATTTTTTTTTAAAGATTTTATTTATTTATTTAACTTTAAAACTATGAATTTCCTTGTTAGTTGAAAATAATACTTATATTTGAAGTTTGGCTGATGTTTGAAACATGCTTAAACTTAGAAGTTACCTACAATGCCAATCATTTTTTCCTCAACCACCTGAGAGCAAACTGTCAATCTGATGACCCATCACTCCCAACACTTTAATATGTAATTCCTACGAACAAGGACATTCTCCTATATAACCTCAATGCAACCATCAAAAGCAGGGAATAATTATTAATACATTACTGCTATCTAATCCTCAGACCCCACTCAAGTTTGGCCAGTTTTTTAAAAAATGTTCTGTACAGTAGAAAGGCCCAGTTTAGTTAGCATCATGAGTTTCATTTAGTTCATGTCTCTGGTCTTCTTCAGTCTGGAACAGTTCCTTAATCTTTCTTTGACTTTCATAATCTTGACCTTTTGAGAATTACAAGCCAGTTATTCTATAGAATGCACCTCAATTTGGGTCTAATGTTTCTCCATGAGTTGATTCAGGTTTTGTATCTTTGACAGGAATGCACAGAAGTGGCTCCGTGTTCTCACTGCATCCTATCAGGTGGTAGGTACACAATTTCAATTTGTCCCTTCATGGATGATGTTCGTTTTGATCACTGATGTCTGCCAGCCTTCTCTTCTGTGAAATTCCTATTTATCTCTTTGTAATTAATAACCATATTGTGGGAATGTACTTTTTTTAAGATTTTATTTATTTATTTGTCAGAGAGAAAGAGTGGGAGAGCATAAGGAGGGGGAGCAGCAGACAGAGGGAGAAGGAGACTCCCCACAGAGCAGGGAACCCGATGCGGGACTCAATCCCAGGACCCTGGGATCATGACCTGAGCCAAAGGCAGATGCTTAACCAACTGAGCCACCCAGGCATCCCTGTGGGAATGTATTTTGAAACCTTCTGAATATCCTTTTCCTTATCAAATTTCTAATTTACTCATTTATATCGGTATGGACTCATAGACTCTCATTTTATTCAATGCAATATAATCAATTATTTTCCTTATTTATTTTAGTGCTTAAATTGGCCCAGATTTGGTCAGTAGGAGCCTCTCCAAGCTGGATTCTGTATCCTTCTGATCATTTCTTTCATTTTTTGAGCACTCCTTTCTCAAACAATGTAGAGTTAGAGTATGTTAGTATGCATGTATATATGTATGTGTGTGTGACTATTTACACATCTGCCTATCTATCTACCTAGCTAGCTATCATTAGAAATCATGAGTTAGCATTGAAACCTCCAGTTTCAATGCAATACCACAGGGTTTCTCCCTCTTCATAAAGTGAATCTCCCTTTACTGACAGTGAGAAACCTGACTCCCATCATCATCAATATATTGACTAATTTGATCAACACCTTGTATATAACCAATCTCTCACCGCTGCCAGTGACTCCTCCCCTACATGGATACCTTCCTCACCTTGACTGGACTCTGAACTCCCCCATGTGGGGCTGCTCCCCACCCAGGGATGCCCTCCTTACCTCACTCAAGTTCTGACTCCTGGTATTAGGCTACCCCTTTCATGGACATCATCTTCACCCTGCTCAGGCTTCAATACCCTGTATCAGGTACCACCCCATGCAAAGGCCTCCACCCAATGCAGGCCTTACCCCCACATGGACGCCCTTCTCAATCTGCTCTGCCTCTGATAACTACCACCACATGCCCATACATGACTACCCTCTTTGTACTGCTTGAGCTCTGACTCCTAACGCCAGGCTGGCCCCCTACCCATGAATATTCTCACCACCCTGCTTAGACCCCAATATCCCCAGCCAGACTGCCTCTCTGCATGGATGACTATCTTGCTCTCCCCTACCTAATGGCAAAACAAAATTGTTTCAGGGGCGCCTGGGTGGCTCAGTCGTTAAGCGTCTGCCTTCGGCTCAGGTCATGATCCCAGGGTCCTGGGATCGAGCCCCACATCAGGCTCTCTGCTCGGCGGGAAGCCTGCTTCTCCCTCTCCCACTCCCCCTGCTTGTGTTCCCTCTTTCGCTGTGTTTCTCTCTGTCAAATAAATAAAATCTTTAAAAAAAAAAATTGTTTCAGGAAGCTTTTTCTGATTATAAAAATCATACATTCATTGTATAAGCACATGGGGGGGAGAAAATCTCTCATAATCCCACTACCCACAGAACTGTACATGTAAATACAACACATATATTTTACAAATTTAATACCACAAATTAAATTCAAATTATTTTCAACTTAAACTTTTAAAGATCAGGGTTTCTCCTAGATTTTCGAAGACTCTTGAAGTATAATAAACTAGCTAGGAAGACGTTAGATACCCCTAAGCCATTAAGAATTTATTCAGTACCACCCAATAATTTACTACTTGAAAGCTTACAAAAGTATCTAACCAGAGACATTTGGCACTGGTTAACTCTTGCTCATTAAAAAGAGAAGTTAAAACAAAGTTTCTCTGTATTTATTCTGAGCAAGTGGGGTCCGGATACAGAGCCATTCAGTGAGTTCCAACGTTATGTGACAGCCTCTTAATAATGTTTGTTACATCCCCTAATTAAGGACTGAGATTTCAAATAATTAAGTGGGGGACAACTGACAAGTTTACATACTTTCCTACTACCCATCAATGGAGGGCAATTAATTTTAAAGCTTGATTTGCTAGTATAAATTTACAGTGTTAATTATAACTTCAAAGTCTCTATCTGGGCAAAGGGCCACCAACCAAGGGTTCCATGTAAGTAGGCGGTCTTCTATTTATCTGAGAACAGGGTGGTATTTGCTTGTACTTTTCAATGCATAGTAAAATGCTTCTGCCTCAGCAGAAGTTTCTCTGGATTAGTTAAAATGCCATGTTGTTGGACATAATTAAATTTTCCATTTCGCTTTCTGTTTGTAAATGGTGCCAATCTTTCCAAAAAGGAGCAAGTAAATTCCAAGATGTCAGACCTCTACATTTTCTAGTCATGGAGATCCATTATTGCTTAATTTCTATCCATATACCTAAAAGAACATCAAATGGACCATATCCACCTGTCTTTTGAGATCATTTCACTTATTTGGGTTTAAATTCTGTTAAGTTCCAAAGAGTAGTTCTCTAAACCCAGATTCACATCCATCACTTGTAAAATGGGGTTAAGAATTATTATTCTAGCAAATACTCTCACTATATACTAGTCACCATGCAATGCGCTTCACATTTTTAACAATCACAAAATTCATATCATTACCCTTATTTTTCAGATGAGAAAACTGAAGCTTAGAGAGCTTAAGTCATTTACTAAGAGTCAAAAAGTTAATAAGGAATGGAGTCTGAATTCAAAATATAACAGGCTGATTCCACAGCCCATTCTTCTATCTCACTGCCTAGCTCAGTGGTTATCAAACTTTTTGACCTTAGGATCCCTTCCCTCTCTTAACAATTATTGAGGTCTCCAAAGAACTTTTCTTTATGTGGGTTATATCTATCAATACTTACTACATTAGAAATTAAAACTAAGGCAATTTTTAAATACTTACTAAATCTTTAAAGAGTAACAATAAGCTCATATTTTAACATTCATAACTTTTTTGTGTGAAAAATAACAATATTTTCCCAAAATGTAGTAAAAAAAAAAAGTGACATTGTTTCACATATTTATAAATTTTTTAAATATCTGATTTTGAAGATATCTGGATTCTCCTAATTCAGACTAACATAACTCAGGGTACTACTAACTCAAGGCCAACATCAGATATTCACGTTAATAAGCTAAGGCAGCCTGTAAAATGTAGCGTTAGCAAGTCCCTCAAATAACCATGGGATGTATAGTAGGAAGAAACACAAATTATTCTGGCACTTTAATATTAGCTAACATTTACTGAATTTTGACAATGTGTAAGACACTGTATTAAGTTTTTCCACAGGGATTCCTGGGTGGCTCACTCAGTTAAGTATCTGCCTTCGGCTCAGGTCATGATCCCAGGGTCCTAGGATGGAGTCTCACATCGGGCTCCTCGCTCAGTGGGGAGCCTGCTTCTCCCTCTGCCTGCCACTCCCCCTGCTTGTGCTCCTGCTCGTTCTCTCTCTCTCTGACAAATAAATAAATAAAATCTTAAAAAAAAAGTTTTTCCACATAATACCTTTTCTAATCCCATCCATCACCCTATTTCCTCTGAGGAAATAAGTTCCATCAGACATATAAGGAACCTGAGGCTCAGAGAGGTTAAGTGAATAACTCAAGGTCACAAGGCCAGGACCAAGCAGAGCCAAGATCTCAACCCAGCTCAGTCTGACCATATGCCCTTGCTTTTGATCACTTTGTTATACCTTCCAACATCACTAATTATTTCCATGCAAAAAAGCATTGAATTCAATAAAGACTTTTCAAAATAACCTCAGGGGTTTCATGGGTCCTCTGGAGTCCATCCATGTACACAGATCCTAAGAACTCCTGCTTTAAGGATCTTAAAGTACCTAATTCAGCATAATAAGTTTAAAATCTAAGAAAAAAAAAAGGTAAGGCAACAAGAGCTAACATTTACTGAGCAGCTATTATGTGCCAGACACAGTGCTTAGTGATTTACATCTATTACCTCATTTAGTTTTCATCCTTCAACACAACACCTGTTACTCTTGACGAGAAAACTGAGGTTTAGAGGGCTTAAGTGACTTGCTCAAAGTCGAACAGTGGAGGGGCTTGAGCTGACTCTACAGCACCACATCCCCTCTAAAACAAACACTGAAACAAAACCAGGCCAACGGTTTAAACTTATTGCCAAAACAAACACAGAAAAAACCTGGAGACATATTTACCTGTATGACTTATGCAGTTCCATGACCTTCTCTTCAAGTTCCTTGGTCTGATTTGGGGCCAGTTTAAAATCACTAACATAATCGGCACCATGAAGTTCTGGGTCATAGTCTCCCAGCTCAGACTGGATGGTGTAAGAACCTAATAATGCTAAGGTGGCAAAGGAACAGGGCAGACGTCCCACAACTATATCCTGTCGAAGCTGAAGGCATAAATAATATCTACAGCCAAAAGAGAAAAAAATGTTACCATGTCAGCAACAACAAAAACAAAATACAGAGGAAGAGGAAGAAAAGGGGAGTGAGAGGCAGGGAAGGAGGGGGAAAAACAAGAGAGATTAAATAAATATGAAATAATATTAATAATTGTTCAATCTAGGTAGTGGTTATATGATTGTTCATCATACTATTATTTTTTCTTTTCCGTGTGTTTTAAAATTTTTCCATGTAAAACATTAAAAAAAACCAACAACCCTGTAACTATGTTGGACTCATATTTGGAAGGCAATTTAGAAAGAGGAAGTTGCTAAGAGAGTAGATCTTAAAAGTTCTCATCACCAGGAAAAACATTTTTGTAATTATGTATGTTGATGGTTATGCACTAGACTTATTATGGTGATCATTTCATAATACATGCAAATATCGAATCATTCTGTTATACACTTGAAATTAATACAATGGTATATGTCAATTATATATCAATAACAAAAAAGGAAGAAAGAAAAGAGGTAAAGTTGGGAAAAGTCTGAAGGAGGTAAGGAAATTAATATTTTATTGAGTACATTAAGTACCATATACATATAAATTATCTCACGTAATTTTCACAAAAAAACTTGTGAAGTGGGTATCATTACCAGATTACAGATAGGGAGGCAGCTTCAAAGACTAAGCTTGCTCAATGTCATATAGTAACAAAGGCTGTTTGGCTCCAAAAGTGGACTCTTTCTATCATACTGCTTTGCCAAACGTGTAGATACTGTCCTTCATATATAACGATGACATTATTGACACATTTTTACTAGGGTATGAACAGTTTCAGTTCTTTTCCGGAACTTCAAGATGGGCTAAGCTGCATGTAGCCTTCCACACACTATCATATTGTAAGACTGATTCCACCCGTGTGCTAAATTACTGGGAATTCAAACTGGGCTTAAAACTGGTCAGTAGAACAAACTGAGTGCCCCTACATATGTTAGACACTCATCTCTATCAGTATCATGTTTACACCTATGATCCTGACCTCCTTAGCACTTTTTCTAGCTGAGTTGACCAATATAGACTGTTTTACCAAACAGGAAAGCTGGGAGATATGATGCAATTGAAAATTCCTGTACTGATTAGAATTATATCCTTGGTTTGACCATAACAAGATGTTGAATAATGTAGGTATCAACAATCGCTTTGGCTAACTATGATTAGTCACTACATACATATTTTTTTAAAAAAAGAGGAATGCCAACCAAATCACAAGGATCTTAAACTCCTCTAAAATGTAGGTAATTAGCAAAGAGTTTTAGGGACTTGTTTTGTTTTATACATAACCTCAATGAAGAAAGATGAATAAGAAGCAACACTAAGATACAAATATTACCTGAGAAAAAGAAATAACCAAAACAATTTTTTTTTCAGGCAGAGATGGCATGTCAACTTCAAGCATGTACTAAGGATTAACCAAAGAATAATTTTTTAAAAATTTCACCATACTTGACAATCAGACTTAGAGTTTACTTAGGCTATCCCCTTATTTGAGAGATCTGAAAACTGAGGTACAGAGACTGTATATTTGTCTGAAGTCAGATAGTGGACAGCAAAATCAGAATTAGAAAGCAGTTTCTCAGGGGCGCCTCGGTGGCTCAGTCGTTAAGCGTCTGCCTTCAGCTCAGGTCATGATCCCAGCGTCCTGGGATCGAGCCCCGCATCGGGCTCCCTGCTCAGCAGG